GGTCCAATTGTGCGGATGAACCGTTGAGGATGGTATCGGAGCATGCACAATGAACGGAAAAGACATATAGGGCCGGATCGCACTGTGTCGATCCTCAACGATCTCGAATTGGACATCAGATCGGTCATGTTCCCTGCTGGTTATGGATATATCGATGATGGAGCTATTGTATTGTGATATACATGCTTGTTGGAGGTCCATGAGTGATTTCCCAAAAGTTCAGACCGAAAGAGCCAGTGGAAGCCAGTCGAATTGACGTCGCAAAATGGATTTAGACACGTTCCACATCTTGGATACTATTTTGGACTTTTCGATACCAAAATTGGGTATTTGGTACCGCATTTGGAATTTGCTCCCTTTTTGGTGTCTAGGTGCGATATCGGGAGTATTGGCGCTATCTTTGGAGTACAGGTCACGAAACTTCGACACGTGTTCAAGGGGGCAGTCAAGCTTAAAGGTGATATCGGTTTGGAGAGTGACCTACAGTTTGGAATAGGCTTAAGGGTAGGATGGCTATTAATTTGGTTGGATAATAAAACAGTTACCGTTTTTACATATAAAGCACGTCGCAGACTTCTCTTCCGGGCAGGATATTTGGCCTCCCGTCGATCAAGAGACGTCGCACGCGCCGTGTTTCGTGTACTCACCTTGGATTGTTTGGCCAAGGTGGGGTTAAGGTAACTCAACTCAACTCAAACTGCTAGGGTAGCAGCAAACAACGGTAAAGGAAAAGGATTTTGGTTACAAGATCGCGAGGCAGCCCAAGTGGTCAGAAGATCTGGACAAGGCGTTCAAGACAAGACCGAGCGAGATCGAAGCGATCTACTTGACATATCGGCGTGTTTCATTTTGGCGAAACCAAGAACCGATCTGTCCATATTGCGCACTTCCGGCAAGATCGGCCGATCCTGAGACCAGATCGGACAGATCCCAACGCAAGATCGACGCAAGACTACTATTTGCTGAGTGAAGATTTCCGCACAGCGAAGACCCCGATCCCGAAGACGAGTCGAGATCGGCGTTATTCCGGATCGAGATCGCGACATCTCCAAATAGAGATCGCCGCGACTCAAGATCAGGATCGCAAAACCCCTGTTCGTGGTGTGAAGATTTCCGCACCGGAAGCGAACTCTCAACCCAACCTCTCAGCGAGATCGACATCTCCCAAGGCCATTACGAAAGCTCAAGCCAGCTCAACCGACGGGTACACAAGGTGAGCACAGGGTTATACAGCAAAGCACGGATCGGAGTACCCCCTCCGTGAGTCGGCAAGTCTGGGCAAGTGGAAGATTGACACTCACTAAAGTAATTTTGTGAGATCGACTTCACCACAAACTCGTCGAAGGTCTCGTTCCAAACACGCGAGGCTTGCTTGAGACCGTAGATCGCCTTGATCAACTCGAGACAGTCGAAATCACCGTCCATCTTGACACCTTCGGGAACGACGAAGAACACACTTTCCTTCATCACTCCATACAGGAACGCAGTCACCACATCAAGCTGGTCGAGGGGCCATTCAAAGTGCTTAGCGATGGCGATGACCATTCGCAGCGTCACATACTTGAACACGGGCGAGAATGTCTCCGTGTAGTCAATGCCGTACTTTTTGGCAAAAGCCCTTGGCCACAAGTCGTGCCTTGTATTTATCGATTGATCCATCCGCCTTGCGCTTGATCTTGAAGACCCACTTTGTGTCAATGGCGCTTTGTCCGTCGGGTAACTCGGCCGCACGGATGACGCCGCGAAGCTTCATTGAATCGGGCTCCGCACCAATTGCCTTGCGCCAGTGTACTTGGTCCGGGCCACCCACTGCTTCTTCGAATGTCGACGGCTCCGACAAATCCATTGCTGCTTTGACAGCATTTGCACTCGCATGCCAAAACGCGTGGGAAGTCGGTATGAAATGTTGCTCTTCCGACTTCTTTTCTTCATCTGCATTGGCTCGACGTGATGAGCGGTCATCCGGCGCGCTTGATTCTTCCAATCCGGGTCGTTGGCGCACTGCTCGGGGCATACTTGCATCTTCATCCTCGTGACTGGGTTGAGCCTTGCACTTTCCCGTTTGTTTGAAGTATCTGGGACGCGGGTCTTCATCATCCAGCTCGATCGATTCGAAGTCCAGGCCATCAACGTCGTCATCGGCGATCAGCATTGAAAGTTTAAATGCCGACTCATCGAAGTTGACATCGCGACTTATCATCACCTGCCCCGCCTCGATGTCGTAAACTCGATACGCCTTGGACACTTCTTCGTAGCCCAAAAACAATCCAGCACGCGCCTTGGGATCCCACTTGAGTCGTTTCTCCTTCGGGGTCAAGATGTATGTTTGGCACCCGAAAACACGCATGTGCTTGTTGAAACTTGAGCGGGAGGTGTAGAGAAACCGAAGCGGAGAAACCGGAGAGAATGAAGCGGAGAACACTTGCTCACTTGAGGGAGGATTCGAAAGTGATTGATTCATAGGTCTTAACTCTTTCTACCCTAGACTGCACGCAATCACATGGTGCATCGAATCAACCTGATATTCACGCGTCTAATCATCCTACGCGTCTAATCATCTCTGAGGTGATTACCGACGTAAAAACTATCCCGTAAAAACTACGCTTAAGTTCGGATTGTATCGGTAACCCTCAATAGAATCGTCTGCCATCGCCCAAGATTCCCCACAAAACGCCGTTCGAGATCGTGTGTGGCTCAAAGCCAAGCGTCAAGCACATGCGTATTTTTGGGTGTCAAGCATACACCTTGACTCCGAAGGAAAAACGACTCAAGTGGGATCCCAAGACTCGTGTCGGCATCTTCATGGGCTACGAAGAAGTTTCCAAAGCATATCGCGTGTTTGGCATCGAGGCTGGACAATTTGTGGTCAGCCGTGATGTCAACTTCGACGAGTCATCTTTCGGGTTTTCGATGGAGCCATCAAGTGAAGAAGTCGATGATGCAACGTTGGACCTCGATCTTATCGACATCAACGACAGCGATATGCGCCAGACAAGCTACAGACAGACCGGCAAGCGAAAGAACCGGCCAAGCAACAACGTTGTGCTCCCAGCCCATCGTCAAAATGGGTTGGAGGAAGCAATTGCACCGGACAGCTCATTCAATCGCCACCAGAAACGTCGATCAAGTGGCAGAGAAGATCCAAGATATACCGACGATGAAGAAGAAAAAGAGGACATCAGTGATCAAGATGATGACTGCACGCCTCTTACTTTCTAGCGTGAAAGTGCTAATGCAGTGGAGGCGACTGGTCTGGCTGAGCCTGCAACGTTTCAGGATGCGATCAGCGGACCTGATCAAGTTCACTGGCGCAAGTCCATGCGGGCCGAGCTCGAGTCGATGCGACTTCGCGGTGTCTTTCGTGCCGCCAAGTTGCCAAGTAACCAACGCGCTATTGGGACCAAGTGGGTGTTCAAGATCAAGCGCAAAGCAAGCGGATCGATCGAGAAGTTCAAGGCGCGTTTAGTTGCGAAGGGCTTCAAGCAGAAGTACGGAATCGACTACACCGAAACATTCTCGCCGGTGGTCAAGTACGTGGCACTGCGCATGGTAATTGCGATCACCAAGTACTTCGACTGGCCTCCTCGACCAACTTGACGTGGTGACGGCATTCCTGTACGGAGTGATGAAGGAAAAGGTGTTCTGCAACATTCCAGAAGGTGTTGAGATGGATGACGACTTCGACTGTCTCGAGTTGGTTACAGCAATCTACGGCCTCAAGCAAGCGTCGCGCGTGTGGAACGAGACTTTCGACGACTTCGTGTGCTCAATCGATTTTCAAGTATCGGCACTCGACCCGTGTCTCTACATCAAGATGGTCGACGGTCACTGCGTGCTGGTGCTGGTCTACGTGGACTACGTGCTCGTGACAGGCAGCTCACTCGACTTGATCGCGCAGACAAAGGCCGATCTCTAGACGCGCTTCGAGATGACCGATAGCGGCAAGTGCACTTTTGTGCTGGGCATCGAATTGGTCGACGGACCTGACGGCAGTGTCACCATGTGCCAGCGCCGCTATGTCGACGACATCCTTAATGGCCTTGGTATGGACGAGAGCAAGGCCACTGTCGGTCCGGTCGACTTGAGCTCTCCCTTTGTGCCTAGCAATATGGGACCGAGGTGGACGCTCCGTTTCGTGAAGCAGTTGGTGATCTGATGCACCTGATGACCGCGACCCGCCCGGACATTGCGTATGCTGTGGGGTACGTCTCACGATTCATGGATAACCCGCAGCAAGAACATTGGATGGCGGTGAAGCGCATTTTCGGTCCTTGCAAGGGACCAAGTCGCATGGAGTCCGCTTCCAGCCAAGCGACAAGATTGACTTTCGTGGCTACTCGGACGCGGACTGGTCTGGCGACTACGCGGATCGCAAGTCATTTTCAGGCTACGTGTTCATGCTGCTCGGCGCACCCATCAGCTGGGGAAGCAAGAAACAGTCAAGCGTGTCGCTATCGACGAGTGAAGCGGAATACATCGCGCTAAGTCTGACCATCCAAGAAGGAAAGTCGATTCATCGCCTGCTATGCGAGGTTCTGATGGCTGCCAACGAAGAAGGTCCAGAGCTGGTCATCCGTGAAGACAATCAGTCGTGCATCACGATGACGAAGAACCCAGTCAACCACGGGCGTGCCAAGCACATCGACATCAAGTACCACCACATCCGTGATGAAGTCAAGCGCGGCAGAGTGCAGCTTGAGTATTGCGAGACGGCGACCATATTAGCGGACGTCATGACGAAGGGACTACATGGACCGCGCCACAAGGACTTGACGACGGCTCTCGGCATCCGTGCGAGTTCGGATTGAGGGGGCGTATTGAGGGTTACCGGTACAATCCAAACTTAGCGCGTAGTTTTTACGAGATAGTTTTTACGTCGGTAATTACCTCAGAGATGATTAGACGCGTAGGATGATTAGACGCGTGTAAATCAGGTTGAATAGATGCACCATGTGATTGGATGCAGTCTAGGGTAGGCAGAGTTAAGAACTATGAATCAATCACTTTCCAATTTCGATTCTTCCGAGCAAGTTTCTTATATTCGGCTCGTCCAAGCGCAGAAATCTCTTGCCCGCCTCAACTACCGACGCCAACCGGTTCTTGATGTAGATGGCCGTCATGGCCGCTTCAGCCCAAAAACACTTGTCAAGTTTGGCGTGATGCAGTAAGCTGCGGTCGATCGTGACAATAGACCGAATGGCGCGCTCTGCCGTGCCGTTGGTCTGGTGCGCATACGGCACCGTGGTCTGTTGATCGATGCCTTTGTTCTCGTAGAAGACCTTGAGCGAGTTGGATGTAAACTCACGTGCTCCATCGTGACGAACGAACTTGACCTTCTTGCCGAACTGGGTCTCGATCTTGAGAATGTAGCTCTTGACGCAGTCTTCGCTCTCCGACTTTGTACGTAAGAAGAAGCCCTTCATGCACCCGCTGGCTTTGTCAACAATCAGCAGCAAATATCTGCTGCCGCCGATCGAGACTTCTTCCATTGGGACGCAGATATCGAAGTGAAGTAGCTCAAACGTGGTATAACGACGCTTGTCGCGGTTGCTTGGAAATGGTTTTTGAACTATCTTACCTTGTTGACACCCGCGACACATGCTCGATCCGTTCGACTTGGCAGGAGCCTTGGGGTTCTTGATCAGACCATCGTTGACCATCTTGCGAAGAACGTCGAAAGGTGCATGACCCATGCAAGCGTGCAGGTCGACAACCTGGTTGTTCATCACCGTGTTGGCCGACCGTTGAGGCGTACGAAGCCAGTAGAGTCCATCAACGAGATCCGCCGTAGCCACGACTTGTTTCGAGTTCTTGCGTGTCACGTGCATCTTGTGACCGTCGAAGACGACTTGAAACTTCCCAGTCTTGTTGATCTGCGGCACCGATAGT